TCAAAGATGAGCTCAACAAAGCCCAAGACAAAAGACTCAATACTCATAAATACACCTCAAGGCTTAAATTTCATTAAAAAGTTGACAAGTCTAATAATAACAAATAGCAATGGATTAACGGATCGGTTTATTAACCTCAGTAAATATCTTCTCGCTGATAAACAAGAGATTTTTTCAATTTGGGATTAAACTGTCAGATCTTAAAGAAACCGAACATGCTGTGATTTTCATAAATAATTGCATTTCTGCATATATATATATACACACACCTTGAGCTGACATCGGTGTTGGAACATTTATTTGCATTGGGTGATGGTTTGATAGTGGCTGGGGATTTTAATATTCATATTGAAAGGCCTGGTGATACACACTCAATTAATCTGCTTGAAATATTTGATTCGTTTCAGTTAAAAAACGTGGTTAATGAGCCTACCCATAACTTGGGTGGCACACTTGATTTAGTTGCTTCCACTCCTGATATTCCTTTGTCTAATTGTAGAGTGGATCCCAGTGGTGTTTATTCAGATCATGGTCTGATTAATGTTTCATTCTCGGTCAGTGTCAGGCTACCATTGACAACAAGGCGGTTGGTACGCTCTTGGAACCGTTTGGATACACATCGTTTTAAATCACTAATTTTAAACTCTCCAATCAGTGGTCCGTTTGATAGTGATGACGTGGATGATGCATTTGTGTTGTTTGATCGTGAGATGAGGAGGGTTGTTGATGAAGTGGCTCCACTACACTTTGTCAACTCTAAACATATGCCATTAGCCCCTTGGTTCGACGGAGAGTGCAGGAATTTGAAAAGGCTATGTCGCAGATTAGAACGGGTTTATCGAAACAACCCAAGTGATAAAAATGAGAATATCTGGCGACAAGCTATTAAAGATAAATATTGCTTTTTTGTCAAAAAGAAAAACTGTTATTGGAAAAACTTGGTGGAATCAAATAGCAACAAACCAAAACGTCTTTAGAATGCCGTTAACGGTTTGCTTGGAATGGAACAGGTAGTGGATGTATCAGAAGTTGATCATAGTTCTCTTGACTTTTCCAAGTTTTTCAAAAGCAAAATTGATGATGTTCGTAATTCAACCAATCATTGTGATGAACCAACATTCACTTTATGTGATCTTGATGAAGAATCTTTTTTTTCAAACTTCTCGCCCTGTACTGACAGCTACATAAAAAAAGTCATTTTAGAGTCCCATCAAAATCTTGTTTTCTTGATTGTGTGCCCACAAAAATTCTTAAAAGATTAATTTTTACCGTTTTTAACGTTTTTCATAAATTTGTGTTTAAGTTCTGGCTCATTTCCATCAGCGTTTAAAAATGCTGTTGTTACACCGATTTTGAAGAAGAATTCTCTTGATAGACATGAGTTAAAAAATTACCGACCTGTATCTAACCTTATGTTTTTGTCAAAGTTGGTTGAAAGAATCGTTTTATCACAATTTGCTTCTCATTTGAAAATTCATAATCTTCTGCCGGTTCACCAGTCGGGTTATCGTGTGTTTCACTCGACGGAAACAGCTTTAATTGATGTTTCGTCAAGGTTGTATTCATCAATGGACGAACAAAATGTGTCATTGCTTGCTCTCTTGGACATGAGCTCGGCGTTCGATTACTTCTCAAAAAACTGAAGCAAACATTTGGACTATCGGGAGTCGTTCACAAGTGGTTCGTGTCGTACCTTGCTAGTCGTACTCAACAAATTTTATTCAAAACAAATTTGGCAGCTGTCGATGCTTTGTCATACGGTGTACCACAGGGTTCCGTCTTAGGTCCCATTCTCTTTTTGCTTTATACAGCAGATGTCTACACAATAATTGAGTCGTACAATTTCAGGTTTCATGCATTTGCTGACGACATCCAAATAATAGCCAACTCCTCTCCCTCGTCGTTTGGTGATGTGGTCGATGATTTAGTATCGTGTTTATCAGCCATTGATGTTTGTATGATGGGGCACAGATTAAAGTTGAACCAATGCAAGACCCAGTTTTTGCCTGTGGGTACATGGCAACAAGTGAATAGAGTGGGTATCAACACTATCAGAATAAAGGAATCTGTCATCGAATTTTGTGCGTCAGCACGAAATCTTGGATTTATTTTTGATACAAACATGACAATGCAATTGCACATAAAGTTGTTGTTGAAAGAATGTACTTACCAATTGAGAAAATTGAGACTCATCAAAGGATCTCTAAATATGCATACATTGCATTGTTTAATTCACTCGTTCATTCACTCGAGGATCGATTATTGCAACAGTTTATTTTACGGTTTACCCAAAAAGTATGTTGCACAGTTACAATTAATTCAAAATCGGACTGCCAAGTCGTTAACTGGTGGTTCATATTTTGATCATGTTACTCCTATTCTCTTCAATCTTCATTGGTTGCCCGTTCAACAAAGAATTGTCTTCAAAATTGCCCTACTGGTGTATAAAAGCATTAATGGATTAGCGCCGAAATATTTAATGGATCGAATTGTTCCAAGAAATGCACCGTTACAGTGTCAGAAGTTACGGTCAAACGATTTAGATTTGTTAACAATTCGACAAACTCAGCTTGCTGTTGGTTGCAGAGATTTCGCTGTTATGGGACCGAAGATTTGGAACAGTTTGCCGGTTGACTTGTGAAATCGTGGGTTCTCAATTACTGAATTTCGAAGAAAGCTAAATAACCATCTTTTCAGACAAACTTTTTATGATATGATTTGATTGAAGTGAAACATTTAATCAACTTTTGCATTAGCGCATTTAATCAACTTTTACATTGTTAGCGCCTTTGAGAACAATAAAGGGCGCTTTATATATAAATAATCTAATATATATATATATATATATATATATATATATATATATATATATATATATATTCTTATATATATTTATATATATTTTAAAGCTGTAGAGTTCTTTTTCCAGCAAATTGGTATTTTAGAAGATTGCCAACACTGAGACTGAGATAACAATTTGTGGAGAATTGTGCGAAGTATTAGTTAGTAATAATATAAATGTAATTATAAATAATAATAATAAATATCAAACTCGGTTCTTAATTTTGTTAGTCTACCAATATTTATGAAAACTGATGTCTCTGTTCTTCATTAAAATCGTAAAATAATACAGAGAAACATAATTAAAATATTAAATGAATGTGTTGTGAAAATGTGTTGTAAAAATAAGTTAATTGTTGCATTGAAATTTTTTAACAAGTGTAAAAAGTGGTAACCTGCACCTTCAAAATAACCACAAAAGTTGTCGATGAAATAGCGATATAGCGTGGTAAAATGATAATGGTAAAATAAATGCCAATTGATTATAATGATTTTTTAAATGTATAGTTAGATAATATTTGATGATAATACGTGGAATCTATAAAATTTTTGGTCATTTAATATTTTTGTAACACAGTTTTTATATATCCTCATTGTAGCTGTTAATTAAATAAATTAACTTGTTTAAATAATTTGTGAGGATTATTTTTAATTAAATATTTAATTCTAGTATATTTTCTGTAGTTTGTATTATTTTATTTGCATTTGCGTTTTAGTATTATATTCTTTATTTATGATTTTAATTTTCTATTGTTATGCTTATGCCTTGCATGTTGTACCAATCGCTGCTTTTTCAATGTTTAATCTTTGTAAAGCATAAAAAAGTATTTAAAAAAGTGTTAAAAAACATGTTTTATCCGTAAATCCAATGTATTTCAGCAATCAAATTCTTCATAAAACAATCATTGACGATAAAACTGAAAATTATTCGTGTAAAATTTAACCAAACAACAATTCTCATAATTTCATGAATAGCAATTTTTGATTAGTTTAGTTATGTCCAACACTTTGTAAAACTCTAAATAGCATTTTTATTTTTTTAGGCATTACAAACAATTTTCCCCCTCTGCCATCCTTCTGTCCCGTGAAACCGTGTTTTGTGCAAGATTTCAATGTTGATATTCCTCAACCATTTCAGTTGATTGTCAGGATACATTTCTACATATGGATATGTTGGTTGCTCTTCTAAATATTAAGAGTATCAACAGTTTAAATTATTGTTTTTGTTTTGCTCTTTTTTATACTTCAGAGTCTGTTTATATCCTAATGCTTTTATTCATTCATTGAAAGGGACACATCCATATAATATTAATTTATCTATTTATTTCAGCCTTCAGCCTTTTGATGCTTCTGAATGTTTGTGGAGCTATATCATATTTTATTGTCGAACATTCAACTGTGTCAGGTATGTAATTTGCGAAGAACCGTTCAGCTTCTGCACATTTCATTTTTATACTTGGTAGATTGAAACACATTATATGTTACTAATGAATTTTTTCTTTAGTTTCAAAATGAATGATTGTGTTAAATTTGAATGTAAATGTGAATTTTTATTAAAAAGATTGAGTTATTGTTTTAATGTTGTTAAATTTGAATATAAAAACATTGCCTTTTGGTAATTTTTTTGAAAAGATATTTTTAATTTAAAGGTTCCACATTTGGCATATCTATTTTTTATTTTGTTCTTTGTATTCCCTTGTCCTATATATTTTGGTTCAGACCAGTCTACAACGCTTTCAAGTTAGCTATAATTTTGTAAACTTTTTGAAAAATAAATTGAATGAAAACGTAAATAGTTAGAGTACTAAAAATAAAAATTTTAAAAACTGGACGTGTCTGGCGTCCACGCATTAACAAATGGCTTCTTATAATTAATTATTATTGTAGCTGGTTATTGTAGCGAAGTTTCACTTACAAATTTATTGACTTGTATTTTGAGTGATATTGTCGTTTCGTGTCGTCATGCCAGAGAGGAGAGGCATTGGTTCAATTTTAGTTGAATTGTAGTCATACAGTTACATAGATTCAACTCTTAACTGTTTAGCATAGAAACAATCGAATGATCTATGGAGCGACTTTTTTTTATCATGCAGCTCTTACATGAGCAGAACTTCTTACATATCATTCCTATGTTTAAACCTTTGCGCCACAGAAGCTGTACCATCCGCACTGCACTACGTTTATACACATAACGTATGGGCGCGCAGTCATCGCATCATACACGCGTGGGGTGTGAGAGTGTTTGATGTTCGGACGGGCATTATGCAAAACAGGCCATCGCGTATCTACACGAAACATGTCACCTTACCGATTGAGCTAACTGTTGTCTGCAAATGCGTAAGAAATTCTATTCATTATGACATAAAATATAACAGCTAAGTACATTAAAAAAAGTTGGCCCAAAACATTTAACTTTAATCAAAACACCGATGAAGACTTCAAGTCAGATACGGTATCCTTGGAGAGAAAGATTTGTAAAAAGTTAGCACGTAGCCGCAGTAATGGTGAATGTACTAGATTGAAAAGTGTAGAAAGCTTAGCTCTAGAAAGCTTACCGGTTAAACGTCGTTGATGATTTTAGTGGTGACAACGGTAGTTATGTTGATGACGAAACTATTATTTTCAATGATTTTAAACAGAATAGAAAATGAGCTACTTATTGTTAATTTAAAAAATTAATTTTATGAGGATAAACATTGTTAGCATTGTTTTTACATATGCTACCAGTAAAATAATTTTTTACTGTTTTTTTATTATTTCTTTTTTTATTTATTTATTTGAATATAATTTAATTTATTACACAGAAATGACAGCAGCATATATTTTTTCATATATTTTATCATTTTCTTCCTGCACAATTGCATCTTAGTTGTTTGGTGCGTCGGAATTCCGGCCTCTGGAGGAGTGTAAGTTCTGTTATGTTTGTTTGTGTGATGTGCTTCAGAAATATCAATAAAAGTAAAACTAATTATGAAAAATTTCAATGGTATTTTTCGGTAAATTTATATTAAAAATTGGCAAAATATTTTAGACATAAGAGGTCAGATCATGCCCACAAAATACTGGCAATTCTAATGAAGTTTTGGTTTAATTTAAATATTTTCATGGTGATGTGCACTTCACAAATTAATTAGCGTATAGCCTAAAATTAATTGGAAAAAATGATGATCACGTGTTTTAAAAATTCGTTTTGTTTTGGGATGAGAAGATTTTTGGTTTCTTCTGCAAAAATCTGGAGTACACTACCTGTAGATTTGAAGAAATTCAACATGAGCCGACATGTTTTCAAAAAACATGTAAAACATTTGTTTTGACATTCTCGAGTGAAGCTAGTGCTCCTGTAATTATTCAATATTCATATATATATATATATATATATGTTGGTAATAGACCATAATTTTACAATATTCTATAAATTCTACCGAATGTTTGGCGTTAATATGTTTGTAGTTCGGTTTTTCGATTTTTCTCACTAAAGTTTTTCGGTGATATTGAAAATCGCGACGCTGAATTAAAGAGAGTCACTAACCTGCTAGTAAACAATGGATATAAGACTTACTCTATTGAAAAGATTGTTAAAGGCAAATTACTACACAGCAATAACCTTCCTAGTACCAACAATCAAGATAACGACATCATCTTGTATTACAGAAATCACATGTCAACTGCATACAAGGTAGATGAAGCTATTCTTAAACATATCATCAATAAAAATGTCACACCAACCAACCCAAATAGTAAAGTTAAACTCCGAATTTATTACAACAATAAAAAGACGTCTCACCTAATACTGAAAAACAACAGCAGTCCTAGAGATAACTCTGAGTTAAAGCGTAATCACGTAATATATGAATTTAATTGCCCCTTTGACGGCTGTGCACGTCAACATGACTCTTATATCGGGATTACTACTACCTCACTAACTAGAAAGCTTACGATGCATAAACAGAATGGTGCTATCAAATCTCATTTGGACTCAACACACTCAATCACTATTAGCCGTGAAATCCTCGACAGTAACACTAAAGTAATATACCAGAACAGCAACTACACGCAGAAGCAGTCCTAATTGACATCAATAAACCAAAAATAAATATACAACAAAAAATGACAACCTCACTTCCAACCCGGCGCTTAACCAACAACAAAAACAAAGAAGTAATAAAAACTAGCATTGTAAATATTGACAAAGAAGAATATGATGCTATCGATGAAGAAAAGGAGACCAAAGAAGATGACCAGCCAATAAAGAAACCTGACACCTAATTTCCATCTAAATTCACTTTGACATAGTCAATCTCCATCTAAATTCATTTTGACAAAGTCAATATTTCCCTATATAAACAGCAGAAAGCACTGATGATGATTCATTCGGAATCGAAATATGGCCTTATTTGCTGCATGAATTCGGAAAATAAGTTTATTTTGAATTTTAATAAACTAAACGTTCACCAAAAAACTTTAGTGAGAAAAATCGAAAAAACGAACTACAAACATATTAACGGGCAACATTCGGTAGAATTTATAGAATATTGGATATATATATATATATATATATATATATATATATATATATATATATATATACACAGAAGAATATGTTTCTATATATATAGAGAAAGAGAGACAAAAAGATATACACACACAAAAAAAAACTGACACATATATTCTCTCTAAAATATCTTTGTAATAGTATATATATATATATATATATTTAGACATAGACATATATATATATATATATATATATATATATACATATATATATATATATATATATATATATATATATATATATATATATATATATATATATATATATATATATATATATATATATATATATATATATATATATATATATATATATATATATATATATATATATATATATATATATATATATATATATATATATATATATATATATATTTTTATATATATATATATATATATATATATATATATATATATATATATATATATATATATATATATATATATATATATGAATATTGAATAATATTCAATATTTATTCAATATTCATATATATATATATATATATCCGGGCTTTTTTTGGGGCCGGATTTAGGGCCGGATTTAAGCGTCTATCAACATTTAAAAATGTTATAAATAGAAAAATTTTTTTATTGAATTCAATTAATTTTATGTCAATAAGTTAAAGGCTAAACATATATGACACATAATAACAACATCACTAATTGTGAGGTGAGCTGGACAATTTTTTTTATGCTATAACATGGGTTATGCATAAATTATAAGCTGATCTTTGTGTACAGAATTTAGCATATCACACAACTTATTTATATATTTGAATTAATTAACTATTTGCTTGGTGTTATTTTTTGATGTTCAACATGTAGATAATTGTAAAGGTGAGTATTTTTTTAACGTATGTAAAAGGGTAACTAAAATCCGGCCCCGGCCGGTGTTTGAATTTTAAATCCGGCCAAGTCCGGCCCTGGCTGGACTTGGAAAACTTAAATCCGGTGCATCCCTAATATATATATACATATATTTATATGTATATAACATATATATATAACATATATATATAACATATATATATATATATATATATATATATAACATATGTTGGTAATAGACCACAATTTTTACAATTTTCTATAAATTCTACCGAATGTTTGT